GAGGTGTTCTCAGCGGCCCGGGCCTCCGGCAGACTCTCCCTCAGGATCTCCCTCAGGCGGTGGCACCCCGTGGGAAGCGAGAGGTCCTTGCAGCCCCCCGAACTGCCGCCCGGAGCCCGCTCTTTAGTGAGGGGTATGGGCTCCGCTGCTGTGGATGCTGGTGGGACCGCCGTGCGGGGGCCGGGAGCCCGTCACCGGAGAGCGGCAAATGTTTAAGGAAGGAACAAAAAAACCCCAACATAGGGCATATCTGAAACATGCTGGCCCTCTCACACAAATCCAGTGTGGTCATCACCAGTTTGAGGACTTCAGTATATGCTTGGAGTATATGGATAAGGAAAAGGTGAGCTTTGCATAGTTACAGCCTGATTTTATAACAGTATCTCTATCCCTTGTTTTTTTTTTTAAAAGCCTGGGTGCAGATATGTTTGTTTTCATGATGCTCACCTTTACCAGGGATAACTTCTTTTCAAAAAAATTGCTTTTTAATTTCTCAAAGCCAGAATGCAAAAATCAGAACAATCTTAGGCAAAAAAAGGAAGGTGCATAGACTTCAACTGGAAAGTTTACAAACTGTGTTTATCACGTGGCCAGATTAAGCTTCAAAATACCATTAGGTGAGGAAAAAGCACAGGGAATATTAATACTCATAATAATGTCAAGGCATAAAGCATGTAAAATTTAGCTTGGACATGCTTATTAAATGCTAATTGTGCTGTGCTACTAAAGGATAGAAAAATTGCAGCCTAATAAATACCAGCATAAAAGTGAATGTGATGTTCCTTATCCAACCTGTGAATATCAAAGCCAGCATGAGCAAGCAGCTGTGCTCTCATTTTTAGGAACTGGGATTTCTAATAACCACTTGTGTCTGATGTGATGTTATCTAACATCAGCTTGCATCCATTATATTTGAACACTTTGCTTATGCCGTGGTGAAAGGACAAAGAAACTTTTCCAGGCACTGCAAAGAAGTCTACTGACTATGGAGAGCTGCTGTTCTTGCTTCAGTCCCCTTCCTTTCTTGCTTCTTAAGCGCTAGAAAATAAATTATGTCTGCCTCTTTTCCTTTCCCTAATCTTCTCTGGTTTGAGGATTTAGAAACGAGGTGCAGTTATCACTGTTGTGCTTCTGGTTAGGAGTCAGTCACGAATGACTTACTACTAATAAATGAGACTTCTGACCAACAGAAAAACATACTACGAGACAGTAAGGGAGAGAAATTTACCTCCATCTGTACTTTGGAGTTTGATCAGTGTATGAAAGGGTTTGTACAGCTGAGGATAAACTCCAGAGCTTCCGGTTCTTTGTTAGGTTTCAGTTTCATAGAAGCTTAAACTATTCTGAATTCCCAGCTGTTGTGTTCCTATCTCCTTCCTCTGCACTGATGCTGGTACTCTGCGGCTCCTTAAACCAGCTGATAGAGTTGATCAGGTTGAAAACTCTTCCCCCAAAATAATGTGTTGTTTGGGTTGGGGTTTTTTTTGCCTTGAACTGGCACACCACCACCTGCTTCTGTAAACACTAGCATTGGCCAAAGGAAGGGGGTGGAAATATGTGGCGGGGGCGGGATGTGACCTCAACAGCCTAGATTTAGATCAGCTTAAGCAGCTTAATGAGTTTCTCATTGGCTGTTGGCCTCCTTTGTGCTTGCTAGTGCTCATAGTTTTTCCAAATAATGGAAAAACTCTGTCAGTATCGTTGTTACCCAAGTACTTCTGAAGAGCAGCAGCGTGTCTGTCCTTATTTTGCTGTTGGGAAACCTTGAATCAATACGTCAGACTGGTTCAAAAGATGGCACTGACTCAGTTAACATTTAGGTTTTTTTTGTGACCACAGATGCAGAAACTCTTGTGAAAACTTGACTCCCCCTCACCTCACTTGCTGGGGAAAGA